GAGAGATATAGAGGGAAAGTGAGAAATCATCTCTTAGGGGATGGACACACTACAGTCCAATCTTCATTCACTTCTTGGGATTTAGGACATGCACACACACACATGCCCAGCATGACCTTCAAGCTGCCTGGTCCAAGGCTGGAACCATCATCAGCCGTGTGGAAGTCCAGCCGCCTTGAGTACCAAGCCACCTGCTAGCCCACACCCAGTGTGTTTTTCATGCCACCGGGCCTGGGACTTGAACCACAGAGCTGGCCACATGGGATCCAGAGCCTTAAACACCATACCACCTGCGGACCCAAGAATATCAGTTTTTTTGTTTTATAATAATTATTTTCTTTAACTTTATTTATTATTATTTTCCAGTTTGATCAGAGAAAGAAAGAGGGAAAATGAGAAAGCAATCCACCAGGTCTGGGACTTGAATTGTGGTGGGCCATGTGGATGGAAATCCAGTGTCTTTAGCCACCACGCCACCTGCTGGCCCCAAGAATATCAGTTTTGATATGTAAAATCTTTAAAGATTAAGAGTAAGAATTGCTACTAAAGTAGATTTCCTATAATGCGTTCATTTTTTTTTAAGGGAGATTTTTGCAATAGGGCTCATGCCCTTGCCATAGAGACAGAGAAAGACAAAGAAACAGAAGGTGAGAAATCAACCCCTAGGGAGTGATGGCCCTGCCACAATCCTTTCTCCTCCGTTCTCTTCTCAGGATCTTAGACATGCATGTACTTCTACCTGGAGTGAGTTTGAAGCCACGGGGTCTAGGACCCAAACTGCAGTCTACTACTTGAGAGTCCAGCAATATAACCATTATACCATCTGCTGGTCCTAATATGTTCAATTTTTTAAAAACACTATTTAGTGTACCTAATTATTTGACCAACTTTTTTTTTTTTTTTTGGAGAGCTTTTTTTGCTATAGGGTGTGTGTGTGCGCTCACCAGCAAGGCTGAGAGAAAAACAGAAAGTGAGAAATCAACTGGCAGGTGTGATGGCCACACTCAAATCCCGTCTTCCATTTTCCTTCTTGGGATTTTGGGCACACACACACCCCCACACGCTCACCCAAATGCACCCAGTGTGAGCTTTGAGCCTCTGGGTCCAGGACTTGTACTATGGGCCATGGGAGAATCTGGTGACATAACTATTATTCCATCTGCTGGTCCCTGTCAATGTTTTTTTAACATTTATATCTCGGGGGAGAGAGAGATTGAGAAGCCACTCCCCAATAGGATTCTTGTGCCACAATCTACTCATGGTCTCAGCTGACTGGATCATGGGTCTTGAACCCAGGACCTTTCCTGAGTAGGGCCTATTGCATAAACTCTGCACCATCACCTGGCTTCAACTTCTTGACAGCAGATACCACTACACTTTTTTTTTCTTTTATAGTATTTAGCATAATGATGAGTTTATTGAGTGCTATGCAGGCACCATTCTAAGTATTGATGTTTTAACTAGTTCAGATTTCATAACAACTATTGTTCCAAAGATGAGAAAAACTGAGGCAGATAGTTTTAAAAGCCAAGTTCATGTGTCTATTCAAGCTGAGATTTGAATGTAGGCAGGTAAGCTCTATGCAATCTGCACTTCCTGGATAAGTTCTACTAATAATAACTTAATAGGAACTATACTCTTTTTTTAAACAGAATTTTATTGCTGTGATGCCAAATGATCTAGAGTAGACGTGTGTTTTTGTTGGGATTGGTAATATCTGAGACTATGAGCTACCGCTCTTGAAGTGGCAGAGGAATTAGAGATTTTTTAAGTGTTCAGCAGTTCAAGTAACACTTTATTCTGTCATCACATAGCTTGAAGTTTAATTAGGGAGCTTCATAAATATTCATAGCACTGTAAGTGATTGAAGTCATCAGAGACACATGGAGTGAAGTAACCTCAGATAGCATCTCCTTGCTTCTCAGAGCCAGCAACTTCAGCTTTACCTGGGATGAATATTAAGCCCTATTCCAAACCTGCTGACTAGAAATCTGTATTTTAACCAGATTCTCAGGTGATTGATGTTCCCATTAAAACTTCAGAAGCATAAGTCTGATCCAGATCCATTACTTTACGAGTGGGAAATAGGTCTCGAAGGCTGGACTAACTTAAGCTACTTTAGTGGTGAGCCAGAACTTGAGCCCCGAGGCCCTGGTTCTTGGAAGGCCTAGATCTACACTAAGCCATTGATTAAGGTTTATAGTAACTGGGATTTCGGAGATTCTTTTTTTCCTCTGTCAACCCTTTTGTCTTGATCTCTGTTTTGCACTGAGTATGATCTGCAGACATGCCCAGATATCTATAACTCAGTTGCAAAAGTGATTCTCTGAAGTATTTTTGAGGTATCAATAGCCCATTTCTTGAAAAAATTCAGGGTACATCACTCTATGTCTGACAGAACAGATTTGTTTGTTTTTTTTTTTTTTTTTCCTCCTTTCTTTCTTGAGACTTAACATTTTTTGTTTGTTTTCCCCATCAGGCACATGCACTTACCAGAGTGAGAAAAAGGAGGGGGGGGCGGAGTGAGAAATCACCTTCTGTGTATGGCCATGCCTCTATCCCTTCCCCATTATACTCTCAGGGTTTTGGACATGCAAACACATGTGCCTGGCATGATTTTCAAGCTGCTGGGGGCTGGGACTTGAACTGAAGTTGACCATATGAGAATCCAAGATCTTAACCACTGTGCCCCTGCTGGCCCTAAATTTTGCTATAGGGTGTGTGTATGCTCTCCAGAGAGAGAGAGGGAAAGTGAGGAAGCACTCCCAAGGGGTGATGCCCACTCTGCAATCCATTCTTCTCTTGGGATTTTGGGCATGCCGGCACACATGCCTGGCATATTTTTCAGGTTGCCTGGGACTCAAACTGCACAGGGGCCACATGGGATCCAGTTGCCTTAATTACCATGCCATAGGCTGGTCCTGATTTTTATTTATAAGTGAAAGAAAAAAACTTTAGAAATTTACCCTGATAACCATTTTTTAATGTACAGTTTCGTAGTGTTAAGTATATTCACATTTTTGCACAAAAAAGCTCTAGAACATTCTCATCTCACAAAATTGAAACTATACCAATTGAACAACTGTTTCTCATCTCTTCCTCCACCCATTCAGTAATGAATTGTTCCACCACTGTTTCTATGTTTGATTACTTTTCTTTCTCTTTATTAGCTCACTATATAACATTAAATTATGTAAATCCATCAGTCTGTTGGGCCTCATTGGGGTGGGGGGGACAGTCACAAAGCTGTAGTGAAAGCAGGTGAAATAATGTGCATTAAAACTCATTACAGGGGCCAGCAGGTGGCGTGGTGGTTAAGACATTGGATTCCCACCAGACCCACTGTGTGGTTCAAGACGGGGCTGCGTGAAAATCACAGAGGTTGCGTGTGCTTGTGTACCCAGATCCCGAGAGGAGATTGGCTGAGAAGGGATTGTGGTATGGCCATCCCATCTGGAGGGTGATATCTGACTTTCCCTCTCTGTCTCTCTCTGGTGAGCACACATAACCTATGGCAGAAACCTTAACAAAAAAAAAAACTCATCTGAAATTTTTATAGTGCACCACAAATGTGAGATCAGTGACTAGCCCATTTATGTTTACGTTTAAAGGGGTCTGAAGTTATTTGCTTTTAGAACTTCTGATTTTGTGTTCTATTAGTGAGTTGTACCTGAAAAAAATCTCTACTCTGCTCTTAAATATTGGTATCATTAATTCCTCAACTGTACAATGTATAAATCTTTAATTTTAAACAGTAATTTGGGCTAGCCCTATAGCATAGCAGTTAAGCACTATGCACAGAAAACCTGATCCTGTAGACTGAGTGTGGTTTGAATCCCCTACCCAGTGGCTTGAAAAATAGGCTGGGCTTGTGCTCCCAGAGACCTGATGGAATGGAGAAGTGGAGGAAGAAGGATTGTGATGTAACCACATTCTTCTCTCTGCCTTCCTATTGCAGATGCCCTTTGGCAATAAAGCAAATAAAAAATAAATAGTAACTCTGATGTTGAAAGGGAAGGGTGGGTTGATATAAGAGAAGATTGGATTTTTACTGTGTGGTGATTTCCTGATTATAGTTTTAAAACTATACAGTCTAATGAAAAGTGTTTACAAAATGACTCTTTTTTGAAAAGAGCTTGCTAAAAATCAAAGTACACACAAAATCAACAAAATATATACAATATATGATTGTAACTCTTGGTTACTCTCTGAATAATGCAAGATTGTGGGTCAGTGAAGGAGTTAAATGAGTGATATTAACCTTGGGAGGGCTTATTGGTAGATTGAAGAGAAGTGGCTAGTTAGCTCCTTCCTGATACTTTTGCTCTAGCCTCCATTCGTTTCATTTCTCCACTTATAGATAATAGCTATAGGGGCCAGCAGGTGACATGGTGGTTAAGGTGTGCCCACATGGCCACCCGAGGTTCAAGTCCTGGATCTGGTGGCTTATAAATCAGAACAGGTGTGTGCGCATGCATGTCCAAGATCCCAGGAGGAGAAATAATTGTGTCATGGCTACGGGTAGTTTCTCACTTTCTTCTCACTGCCTTTCTCTGATGATTGCACATACCCCATGGCAAAAAATAAATAAAAAATAAAAAAGATACAGCTTTAATGTAATGGTGGTTTGATATGTGGAAATAAACAGCATTATTTATCTTTTTACAAGATTAGTGGTTTTTGGGAACAGCAGTTAGCGTAATGGCTATGTCGCTGGACTCCCACGTAGTCGCCCACGGTTCAAGTCCCATACCTGGTGGCTTAAACTCACGCTGGGCGCGTGTGCGGGCATGCCCAAGATCCCAAGAGAAGAATGGAGGAGAAGGGATTGCAGCATGGCTATCTCCCCAGGGGGTGATTTCTCGTTTTCTGTCTCTCTGTCTCTGTCTTTTTGGCAAGCGCATGTGCTCTATAGCAAAAAAACTCCCAAAAAAGAAAAATTATTTTTTTAAGTCATGAATTTTATAATCCAGATGAATTTAGGAATGTTTGTCTTCTAGGCTCATCAACAGAGCAGAAGAGCAGATCGATTATTAGCTGCAGGGAAATACGAAGAGGCTATTTCTTGTCACAAAAAGGCTGCAGGTGAGTATTTTTTTTAAAGAAATACCAAGTGTGGGAACCAGCAGTTAGCGTAATGGCTATGTCACTGGACTCCCACGTAGTCGACCGGGGTTCACGTCCCGGACCCGGTGGCTTAAAACTCACGCCGGGGGCATGTGCGTGCATGCCCAAGATCCCGAGAGGAGAATGGAGGAGAAGGGATTGCCGTGTGACCATCCCCCCCGGGGGGTGATTTCTTGCTTTCTGTCTCTATGTCTCTCTGTCTGGCGAGCGCCCACGCCCTGTAGTGAAACCCTCTCAAAAAAAATTAAAAAAAGAAAAAAAAGAAATACCAAGTGTAAAATCAAAAAACAATTTCTTTTCCCTGGTTCATGTAACACAATTACTGATAGAAGTAATAATTAATAGGAGTGATGTGTGCTGTCCTGCATGTACAGGGTTGACATTGCTTTAATGATTTTTCCAGTGAGTGCGTTGGGTTCCCCAGCTTCTCTTAAGCAGTCTTCTTTCTAAACCATGAAGATGGCATAAATGGTAAAGCAATAGATGATTTCTGGGTGGAGCTTCTGTGTCTGAAAATCACTAAAAACAGAAGCTGAATGTGAGCTTGCTCCAATCACCTTTGTTATTTTTTAAAAGGATTTTGGATTTTTGGCTGACCATTTTAGGGTCTAAAAGTAATTAAATTGCAACCAATTCACCTTTACTGAGTTTCTTTTTTCTGAGGTACTGATAATACAAATCCTACCAAAGCTCTTTGCTACCTAAAATGTTGAAAGAATTTTTTCCCTGTGGACCTTCTTTTGCTTCCCTCTGAATATTTCATCTCTACATGCATGCCTGTAGTAACATGCTGATGATAGTTTTATTTAGGTATGAAATTTAGAAGTGTTGGCTTCTTATCAAAGTCTTAATTTCATCTTAGTTCGTCAAGGAGTATAGCATATGTTGAACTCAGAAATAGATCTTGGAGACCTGTTTTGCACAGATCAGTTTTTTTTTGGCTGAGAATCAAACTTAAAAGCTTTAAGAAGGAGGTGTTTTAACTCATGCATCAAAAATGGAGGTAGGCCATCTTTTTAGAGAAAGCCTTGAAGTATTTCTGTTAGAAGGTGCTTTTCTTTTCTCTTGGGCTAGTATGATGCTCAAAGCCACACTCTTTATTGGTAGTTTGCCCCTTCCATGGTATTTTACTGTTGAAATGCAGACAGCATTATTGAATGCTGATTTGGACTAAGTACCCATCACTAATTTTTTTCCCCCTACCAGTTAATAATTTTGAGAGAAAATTTATTTTCTTTTTTTTAAAGAGTTACTTTTGTCACTTACACATACCCATGTATCACCTGTAGGGCTGAGTAGTATAATGAGTACCCCATAATCTTTGAGATTTTTTGTTTTTTAAACTTTTGCTATAGAGTGCATGGGCTCTCCATAGAGAGAAGGGCTGGAGGGCAATGAGAAATTACCCTGGGCATTGCGGGGAAGAATGACCACACCACAATCCCTTCTCTTCCAGTGTCCTCTCAGGATTTGGGGCTTACACATACGTGTGCCAAGCATGCATGTCCCAGATCCAAGACTCAAATTGAGGAGTTAGCCATGTGTGATCCAGCACATTAACCTCCATATCACCTGCTGGCCCAAATCTTTGTATTTTTATGGAGGCTTTGTACATTACATCTGTTAGCTAATGCTCTTTATCTTTCTTAGACCATATTTTGTTATGAACCAGATTGTTAATTTGTAGTCACTGTGAAGACAATGTACTGTGTTTAACTCTAAGAAAACACATTGACAAGCACTGCCACAGTGAAACGATACCTTTAGTTATAAAACCCAATATGGTTGTTGACCATATGTTAAAATGGAGTGAAACAGCCTATGTTGTATACTGTGCTGAATACATAAAAGAAGGAAAAGCATCATTCCTAACTAATCCTTGTCTTATAAGACTTAAAGCTAATGTTGGGCTTATATAGTCCCATCTCTGTCCCCAGTCTGAATTCTGTTATCTCGGGAGTAGAAAAGATAAAGGAAGCCTCTTAGATCACATTAGCTTTAATTATGGAGATAGAACTTAATGTGATTAGTAAATCCCACTGAGCGGATTTGAAGTTTTGACTTGGTTAAAAATAGCCTTGTGTTGTATTTTAGAGTAGAGCTAAAAACTGATGTGGTTGGAGTGAACTCCCTGTTTTCTAACTGGGCTTACATCTAGGGCTTACAACAGGTGTGTTAGGAGGTATGGATAGGGATGTGTTCTGAAAGGAAGGAACCCAAATATTTGGAATCATGGTGAGATGTGACAGGGAAAGGTCAATGTCTGAGAAAGACTAATAGAAAGGAAAGCCTGAAATGAGAGAACTTAAGGGCAAACCAAGGGAAGGGAAGAACTTTGTGTCTAGCTGTCAAATTATGACACTAAAAGCTTACCCTAAGAATACATAGCTAAGGGCTCCATAGCTTCTATATATTGCAGTGTTTGTTTGGAAAGCACTGAAATGAGATTGCTTGATTTTTCTTCCCTTTGGGGAAGGATAGGATATACCTTTGAGGTAGACAGTGGCTAAGTTAAGATAGAAACTAAGAACATGAGAATTCATTTGCTAGATAAGCTGGGAAATCAGAAAGGAAAAAGTTGTTTTGATGTGGCAGGAGGTGGTGAGGGGAAGGTATCCACATTTTTTTCACTCTACTGAAAAAGGCAAGTTTAAGAAGCCACAGAAACCAAGGGATGCAGTATTGCTAAGACATTTTCTTCCTTAAATCCTTGGTTAGCAGCTGTAACTAATTCTTTGTCTCATGGAGAAGAGTTCCCTAAGTGAATTTCATTTCTTTCACAGACCAAGAAAAGAGTCAAAAGAAGTTAACAGTAGGCATTGCAATGCTTAGAACTCAAAATGAACATTTCAGAATACAAGTAAATCTTAGGAGACACATGTATGTATTTGATCAATATTTTGGTTGAAAACATATTAACCTGGGCCTTCCCTTTAAGCTGGGATGGCATGAAATTGATTCTGGAGCAGATCTGCCATTGTCATGTAGAGGTGATATTTTGCCACACAGTTTTGTGCTTTAGTTCTAGCTTAACAGATTCCTGATAGAATAGTAACAGATGTTGTTATGTTAAGAAGCAATAGGTTCTTCTGATTTTCTTAGTTCCCTTTTCTCATCATTTACTTGGTATCTGCTTTGTTATTTTTAAAATTCACGATAAAATGCATGCACATGCAAGGGAGGGTAGAGGGAGTACCCTCCACAGGGCTCAACCACACTGTGATCTCCTTCCTTTAGTCTACCAGGAACCAGGGCCACGCCACAATCCCTTCTCCTTCATTTTCCTCCTGGGATCTTGGGCACAGACACACACACACCTAGTGTGAGTTTGAAGCTACTGGGTTCAGGACGCAAACCTTGGTCAGCCATGTCGGAGTCCAGTGACATAACCACTATACCATCTGCTGGTCTTTGGTTTCTTGATTGTAAAATATACAGGGGTTTTAAAGCCTAAAACCTTCAAGATGGGGTAGAGAATGTTTACATTAGAGTACCACTGACATCCATTTTGGAGAAGTTTAAGTAAGAATCCTGTTTCTAGGGCCAGAAGGTGGCATGGTGGTTAAGGTGTTATACTCCCACATGGCCAGTCACAGTTTTAGTCCTAGACCTGGCAGCTTTCTTTCTTTTTTTCTCTCTCTGATGAGTGCACGTAGCAAGTTTTAAAGTAGTAATGATGATAATGATAGAGTACTCGAAATAAAAAATAATTATACATGTAATCATTAGCAGGTATAATATGTAACGTATTCATGCTGGGAAAATTCATTTTGCATGCTGTAATTAAATATATAGAGGTAGAGTGTATTAAAAATAATAAAATATTTATTAAAAAAGAAAACTATATATATGTTTAAGTGAGACAACATTCCTCAAACCTAGTAAATGTTCAGTACACATTAGAGTTTGTTTTATGCCCTAATTCCTCCAACATTGTAAGAAAAAAAGTGTAGCTCTGATCACAGAGGGAATAAAAACTAATATATATGTGTATAAAAAAAAGAATCCTGTCCCTTTTAAAAATTTCCAGTTAAAGTAGAATTGGTTCTAAGACCACAGTATCATTATGAGTATTAAAACTTTTCTTTTGATTTGTTCATTACAAAATGACAGCACTCATTTATCTCTTTCTTATCAGCATACCTTTCCGAAGCCATGAAGCTGACACAGTCTGAGCAGGTGAGATGTGTTCTTTTTATTTTTTTTTTTTAAGAGAGATATTTTTGCTATAGGGCATATGTGCTCACTGGAGAGAGAGAGAGAGAGAGTGTGTGTGTGTGTGTGTGTGTGTGTGTGTGTGTGTGTGAGAGAGAGAGAGAGAGAGAAACAGAAAGTGAGAAATCACCCACACCAGGGGAGATGGCTATGCCACAATCCCTTCTCCAGTCTCTTCTTGAGATCTTGGCCACACATACACTGGCGTGAGTTTTAAGTCACCGGGTCTGGAACTGGAACCACAGTTGACTACGTGGGAGTCCAGCAACATAACCATTGCACCATCTGCTGGTCCTGAGACATGTTCTTAATATTACAGCAAGAGCTAGAAAGATTTTCTTGTGGAGACTTGAATTGTATATTTCTCAAAAGGCTATAGTCAAAAACAGGTAAATTAAGAGTATTTCAGAAAGACAGTTAAGACTAAATGAACTGCTGGTTATGTCAGATGTGGCATGCAGAAACTTCTCTCCTTTTTCTAGCAGTTACTAACGGATCTTTGTTCACCAGAGATGGATCATTTAGAGATGACCTCCTTAGAACCTGTCTGATCATTAGCTCATATGTAGAGTCTTCATGGAAAAATGCCTAATAAGAAAAATATGTATGGATTTAAATTTTTTTAACTGTAATTCCATTATTTTGCAACCTTTTTGAAGTCCTGTAAGCAGTCCAGTAAGCAGGCCTGAAACTAGCCAGACTGCCATTTGTTGTCAAAGGCAATTTAAATCTCAACAGCTTCCCACTTTTTATGACCTTTTAGGTTGTTCTGGTACTTTCTGTTTGTTTCACCAGTGACTAAATTGTCTTCTGTGCTTGGGGAAGGCCTACCTAGGTTTTGAAAATTATTTCCAGATTATAAAAATGGCAGTTATGTAGGAGATACTCGGTGAACATTTCTCTTAACTGAAGAGAGAATTTCTGTGCAGAATATTAAGACAGGGAAACATCACTAGTTCTTCACACTGAACCATGGAAATTTAAAAGTATGTCTTACCCTTTAGACTCCCTCTGAAGGTATCAAACCTGCTTGGAATAGCTACATAATGCATTGAGCTTTCTCAAAACCCTGTTGATAAGATGACTTGCTTTTGAGTTGTTTGTAGGGTTCATGTGTCTAAAAAAGGAAGATTTCTGATTTTAAGCTGAGTACAGATGACATTCTAGGAAAGAGTAAGTTACCTACGGTCAGAAAAAGTTTAGTTCAGTGTATTGATTGGTAATAAGACTCCCTGTTTTCTAAATGAATGGTGGTTGTTTTTTTTTTTTTTAATGAATAAAAATGTTAGGAGGCCAGCTGGTGACATGCTGGTTAAGGCAGTTGGATCCTACATAGCTGACTGCATAGTTCAAGTTCTGGTCTTGGTGTCTTGGAAACACACCAAGCCTGTGCGCCTAGAATCTTGAAAGGAGAAATGGAGGAAAAGGGTTTGTGGAATACACCATCCCCCCGCCCCCCATGTCGCTGTCTTTCTCTAGTGATTGCATGCACTCTCCAGCAAAATTAAGGGGAAACAAGTGTTAGCTTATCTAGGAAGGCCTTGTTATTTTGAAAAAAGTTAAAGTTCGTAAATTTCAAATAGTATATGAATTTTAAGTTATTGAATTATCCAAAGGAGGATGTTGGAATAGTATATGTTGAACATTACTTAAGTAACTTAAAATACTAAATTCTGCAACTTGTACCTTCTGTGTAACAGGCTCATTTATCACTGGAATTGCAAAGGGACAGCCACATGAAACAGTTTCTCCTCATCCAGGAGCGGTGGAAAAGGGCAAAGCGAGAAGAGAGGTGGAAAGCCCAGCAGAGCATGGACAGGGATGCAGCTGCCCATGTTCAGACATCTCACAAGCCCCCTGCTGAGGATGCCGAGGGCCACAGCCCCTTGCTAGCTCAGAAGTACAGCTGAGGGCCCTTCCACTGAGAGACACCCGCCTGGAATCCAGGGTGTCTTTGACAGAGACCCTGACACACTGTTATTTTTACTTCAGCAAAAGAATGAGCCAGTAGAGACGTGCATGGGAAGCAAAGCTCCAAAAGATGATAAAACAATTATAGAGGAACAGGCCACCAAAATTGCAGATTTGAAGAGGCATGTGGAATTCCTTATGGCTGAGAATGAAAGATTAAGGAGAGAAAACAAACAGCTAAAGGCTGAAAAGACCAGACTTGTAAAAGGTCCAGTAGAAAAGGAGCTGGATGTAGATACTGACTTTGTGGAGAAGTCAGAGTTATGGAGCTTGCCACCACAGTCGGAAACTGCCGCAGCCTCTTCAACTTGGCAGAAGTTTGCAGCCAGCACTGGGAAAGCCAAGGACATTCCAATACCAGCGAAAATGGCAAAAAAAAAAAAAAAAAAAAAAAAGGGAAAACCACATACAGGGGTAATCCCAGAAATGCTTCATTGTCTGGCATACCATGGGAGAAGAGGCGTGGCCAGGACCTGGGAAACAGTCACTGTGAAATGTGTCGTGGATCTGGTTCATTGACTCGAGCTGATGATTACGACCAAGCAGACACTAAACTCTCTGAGGCGCATTTTCTCCTGATACAAACCAAATGGCTACCTGGAATAAGTTTTTCAAGCAACAGTTATTTTTCTTCAGGGTTAAAGTGTATAAAAGTTATGTTATGTGTAATTAATGCCATAAATGATAAAGTAAAGCCTAAACAATATGGTGGCCTGGGGGCTGCCTTCTGTTTGAACATGCTTTCTATCATGCATTGACTGTATGCATCTTATTAAGCACATTTTGTTTAAGGTGTGTAAAACACACACCTCTGTAGATGAAACTATATGTGCCACACTTTGCACTACTCATAACATAATGATAACCTCAAGACTATCAGAAATATTTAAATTTCCATTTTATGAAGAAAGGAACCAAATTATTAGTTACGCTTTTAAAAAAAAATTACAGTTTACATAATTAATCAGGGTGCGTTTAAGTTCTAACTTTATTGTATAATGCATCGTTGGAAAATGCCAAGGAAACATCTTTTGTTCTTAATGATGCGTGAGTGGAAGTAATGCTAGTTGGCAGTATTTGATTGTAAGAAGTCAATAAAGTAATTGTGTTTTATACCCTTGTTTAACGTGGTCCCTAGTTAAAAGGGAAGATACTGAATGGCTTTATCTGTGTTGTAAACTATGCTGGCTGCCTTAACCACGAGCCGTGGGCTGATCCTGGTTATAAACTGAATATAAATATGAACAGATACCTCAAATGTTCATGTTCCAGCCTTTTTCTCATCCTCACACACTGGAAACTTCTCAGAATGCTCAGGGATGCTCTGGGCAGGAGGCAGTGAGCCTTGGAGTAGTTGACACTGTAGGAGTACAGTAGATGGGGACATAGTACCTCATACTTTGTTCTCTGCAGCACCAATAATGTTGCAGGAGGGAGAAAGGAAAAGGACCAGAGGTAAACATTTGGGTACCTGTCATAGATGTGTTCAGAGCATAGTCTGGAAATGCAGGAGAAATACTGCTTGCTCAGGGGAGGTGTGGGCATGTGGGCTGAAGTGGGGAGATAAAAGTTGGGCTCATGTTGGTCAGTGATGAACTGGCAAAAGTGTGAAGGGCTAAGGCGACCACGTAGAAGTCAAATTTTTTTGTTTCATTTTTATTGCACACAAAATCCCAAATAAACCAGGTTTTAAAAATTATCTTGGAAGTGGGGCCAGCAGGTGGTGTAGTAGTTACGGGACTCCCATGTGACTGAACATAGTTCAAGTCTGGGAGGGACCTGGTGGCTTGAAAATCATGCTAGGCACATATGTGTGTGCACCAAAAATCCCATAAAGAATGAAGGAGAAGGGATTGTGGAATAGCCAGTCTGTCCCCCCTTCCCAGATTTCTCACTTTGTCTATCTTTGATGAGGGCACATGTCCTATGGCAAAACTCTAAAAACAAAACCTTGAAAGTGAAGAATTCTGTGTACATTTATCGTAAAAGTTATTGGGGACCAGCAGATGACTTAATGGTGAGGTCGCTGGATTCCCATTTAGTCTACTGTGGTCTGAGTCTTGGACCCAGTGGCTTAAAACTCACACTGGGCACTTGTGCGTGTGTGCCCCAAATCCTGAGACTGGATAAGGGATTGCAGTGCAGCCACCCTTCTGGGGGATGATTTCTTACCTTCTGTCTCTCTCGCCTTTGTCTCTCCAGCCCTATAGCAAAAAATCTCTTAAAAAAAAAAGGTAATGTTACTGGAGCCAGTAAGTGGCATGGTGGTTAAGGCACTGGATTCCCACATGGCTGACTGCATCCCAGACTTGGTGGCTTGATTTTTCCACTGTCTCTCTTTGGTGAGTACATGCACCCTATAGCAAATTAAAAAAATAATTATTGAGACCAGTGGATGGTGTAATGGTTACGTCACTGGACTCCAATAGCCAATGCGGTTCCTGTCCTGGATTCGGCTTGAAATTTGTGACAGATGCATGTGCATGTGTGTCCTAAATCCGAGAGGGGATTGCAGCATAACCATTCCCTCTGGGGGAGCTGGGGATGGGGGACATGATTTCTTGCTTTCTGTCTTTCCGGCAAGCACACATACCCTATAGCAAAAAATCTTTCTAAAATAATTTTTTTTTTTTTTGCTATTGGGCCGCCAGACAGAGACACAGAAAGCAAGAAATCACCCCCCAGGGGGGATGGCCACGCCACAATCCCTTCTCCATTCTCCTCTCGGGATCTTGGGCACGCACGCACCTGCTCCTGGCAAGAGTTTTAAGCCACGGTTTCTGAACACGAACCGCGGTCGACTACGTGGGACTCCAGCAACATAGCCATTACGCTAACTGCTGGTCCCCTAAAATAATAATTCTTAAAAAAAAAAGTTAAGTGGTACCTGTCCATCTCAGTTTTAGCATATCTCAGACTTTGAGGACATCTGGTTTGCTCCACCTCCCTCATGAAACTCTTATCAAGAGTAGATAGCAAACTCTTACCAAGTTTATTGAATAATTTTTTATTTTAAATTTGTGTCCTTTGCAGGCCAGTGGGTAGAGTTTTGGTTAAGTTGTTGGACTCTCATATGGCTAACTACTGTTTGTGTTTCAAGCCTGCTGGCTTGAAACTCACACTGAGTGTGTGTGTGCATGCCCCAAATCCTAGGAGAATGAAGAAGGAATTGCAATCTGGCCATCACCCCTGGGGGTGGGGGGTGATTTCTCTTTCATTCTTACTATCTTGTTTCTCCAATGCTTTGTGGCAAAAACCTTAAAAAAAAAAAAATTGTGTCCAAAATATGCTACTTCACTAGCCCAGCTATTTCTCCAACAGTGCTCTTGGCTACATTTGACATGACTTCCTACACCACCCTCTTCTGCCCCGTCTTCTCCCTTCCACTCCTGTCCCATTATTTTTAGTAATTTGATATGTAGTTTTTTGGGCCCTTTATCACTAACAAATGTAGGTTAATTTGTACTCAACTTTTCTGTTGTCTTTGAAGCTTAAAAAGAATTTGCTAGGGTAAGTCCAATCATTGCCATTGTTATTCCAAACTGTCATGGTACAGGTGGGAACATCTTGACAGAGAGGGAAATGACCATGCTGCAATCCCTTCTCCATTTTCTTGGGATTTGGGGCACACAGGCACACACATCTGGTATGTTCTTCAAGTTGTTGGATCTGGGACTTGAACCACAGTTGGCCATGTAGGAATCTAGCTGCCTTCACCACAACACTGGCTGGTCCAGTATTTAAAACTTTAATCCCCATTCTTGAGTACTCTTGTTTTGTCTGATTCTTAGTTTTCTGTGTCAGCTATTAGGACTTGCATGCTTTTTGACCAGGACTATGTGGGACCTGTCCAGCAAATTGGCACAATGTCTTCAACAGAGCACATACTGAAAACAAAGAGCCACAGTTTCATTCATTCTCAAGACCTAGCCTCTAGGCAAACTGCCTACACTTCCTGGCTGAGTTTAGGCATTCTTGTATCCTCTCTCTAGCATGAGGCACTGAAAGGAATTAAAGAACAGCTTGCTTATCTAGATAATGTGTTCTGCACATGAAGTTGAGTACGGTATATCAAGTTTATTGAAATAATTGTCTCTGAGTAAGTCCATTTGAAATGTTAAAATAGAGGGCCATCTTGTGGCCTGTTACGGCAGCAAGGTCCCACATGGCTGTGTGATTCAAATCTTTGTCCTAGTGGCTTGAGAAATGGCACATGTGCATATGTGCCCCAAACCCAGAGAGATGGAGTAAAAGGGATTGTGGCATGACCATGGCCCCCATTAGGAGGTGTTCTTTCTCTGGTGAGTGCATGGCAGTGCCCTCTGACCAAAAAAAAAAAAAAAAGTATGTGTATGTATGTGTGTATATATGTATATATACATGCACACACACACACCTCATTTAAAAAGGTGCTGGACTCAAATGACTGGCTGTGATCTGAGTACCAGACCTGGCAGCTTGCTTTCTCACTTTACCTCTCTGGTCAAATTAAAAAATAAGTAAAATTGTTAACAATTAAAAATACTTCCAGGCCCAGCCACAGTTGGTCAGGTCATGCCACTTAGTGATACTGAGCTGTTGCCAAGGAGACTCATCCAGTTAGAGTTTCTACCTGAGATGTGAGGGTTCTTGGCTTTGTGTCAGAAAGAATTTAAGAGCAAGCCACTGAGGGAGAGTGAAAACAAGTGTATTGAGTGTGTACAGAGTCAACTGTTCCATAAGTGTGGTGGTACATGAGGAAATGGGTGAACCGTTTCATTCCTTCCTCCAAGAGGAAATGTTACCTGGAAGGGAAGATAGAAGGGTTACCCCTAAAGGCAGACCAGCTTTGAACTTCAATGGATGTCTGGCTTATATGGTTTGGCTTAATGCCCAGCTAATTAAGTGGCAGTTTATTCATGACTTTTGGGGGAAAGGGCAGTGGTTTTCCTGGATTCACTGTTTCTCCCATTTTCTGATCTTACTAGGTTAAGTCTAGTCTTTGCTATTGTTATTCCAAACTGTCATGGTACAGGTGGGAGTGCCATCTAGCATTGCTAATAGCATACAGTGAGAGTATAATTAGTTTGAAGGTTAGGCAGCTGGTAGTTCCAGGCACCATTTTCGTTATAACTGTTTCAGACTTAAGTCTCTCAGCTACTTCTTGTCTGTCAGATTCTAAGTGTTTGAAATGTCCCTCTTAACTCAGAGCAACATGGGAGGTCCAAGCTCGGGGGGGAGGACCATATCACAATACGATAAGACCCTATCAAGAATACTCTCTCTTGGGGCCAGCAAGTGGTGTGGTGGTTAAGGGCACTGGACTCCCACATGGCTGACGATGGTTCGAGTCTCTTAACTGGTGGCTGACTTTCTCTCTGTTCCTCTCTAGTCAAATTAAAATAAGGTTCAATTAAACAAATATATACATAAAGTTCTCTCATGAAATTAGTTTCAGGTATACAGTATACCACTACACTTCACTATTTTTGCCTTCCTTTTTTTCTTTAAAGAATTATTTTATTTAACTTTATTTTTAATCTAACCAAAGAAGTATGGAGGGAGGAAGAAAAAGTGAGAAAGCCCAGGACTTGAGTCACAGTCAGTCACGTGGGAGTCCAGCATCCTTAACCACCACCCCACCTTCTGGCCGCCTTCTCTCCTTCCTAAGAGCCTGAGACTATGAAACAGTGATTTATAATAAGAAATACTGATTTATGGTAATATTTTGGTCTTTCGTGGTTCTTGGTAAGGCAGGATATAGGGATATTAAACAAAGACCAGTTAAAGCCCTAAGACACAGTAAGCTCTACTCAAGATGGAGTCACAATGGCTAAGTTTTAACCAAGAGTTGGCTGCAAACAACTACGACTAAGGACAACTGTTCACATTTGCTCACTGCATTCTAACAAAAAGGGCGCATCCATATGATCTGCTGACACCAGAAACTCCAAATTACCATGTAGCTTATTTTCTGAAGCCCATTTCCTTATCAGAGAGCCTGCTCATTGCTCAAACTGCTAGATAACCCTTCACCTCAAATTTTCTTTAGCACCCACTTTTAGGATCCCTCTCTACTCAGGAGGTTCTCTTTTCTTTCAATAAACTTTGCTTTGCTATTCCCTGTTGTTGGTGCTTCTCTTTATGATTACAGGACATGAACTTGACCAATACATAAATTCTACAACTTAAGCACAGAGCTCCCAAGATCCTTGTAATTTCATAGAAGATAGGAGTGTCTTTAGTCTTAGTGAGGTGACTGGTGGCATCTGAATAGGGGCTGGTCAGTGGAAAGATGAAGGCATATACTGTGCTTCCCTATTAGTTGTACTGAGCTAAATGAAACTTGTCAAATAAATCTTCCTTTTAAAAACTGAAAAAAAAAAAAAAAAAAAAAA